CACACACAGACACACACACACATAGACACACACACACAACACACACACACACACACACACACACACACACACACACACACACACACACACACACACAACACACACACACACACGACACACACACACAGACACACACAGAGGACCTAGTAGCAATCAGCGAAGAGGCGGGGCCAGGAGCTGTGACTCGACCCCTGCAACCACAAATAGGTGAGTACAAATAGGTGAGTACAGACACACACACACACACACACACACACACACACACACACACACACACACGACACACACACACACACACACACACACAGACACACACACAGACACACATACACAGACACACACAGTAGAGACAGGAAGGGCTGTGGGAAGACAGCACAGAAGGGAACATCAAGAGGGAATATACCAACAAGTGTTGGATGACATACGAACAACCGAGGAGGAGGTGAAGAAGCTCCTAAGCGACCTTGATACCTCAAAGGCGATGGGACTGGACAACATCTCCCCATGGGTCCTTAGAGAAGGAGCAGAGATGCTGTGCGTGCCTCTAACCACAATCTTCAACACATCCCTTGAAACTGGGCAACTACCTGAGAAATGGAAGACAGCTAATGTAGTCCCCATACTTAAGAAAGGAAACAGAAATGAGGCACTAAACTACAGACCTGTGTCTCTGACATGTATTGTGTGCAAAGTCATGGAGAAGATTATCAGGAGGAGAGTGGTCGAACACCTGGAAAGGAACAAGATTATAAATGAAAACCAGCATGGGTTCATGGAAGGCAAATCTTGTATCACAAACCTCCTGGAGTTTTATGACAAGGTAACGGAAGTAAGACACGAGAGAGAGGGGTGGGTAGATTGCGTTTTCCTAGACTGCAGGAAGGCCTTTGACACAGTTCCCCACAAGAGATTAGTGCAGAAGCTGGAGGATCAGGCGCACGTAAAAGAGAGAGCACTGCAATGGATAAGAGAATACCTGACAGGGAGGCAGCAACGAGTCATGGTACGTGAAGAGGTATCACAGTGGGCGCCTGTTACGAGCGGGGTCCCACAGGGGTCAGTTCTAGGACCAGTGCTATTTTTTATATATGTGAACGACATGATGGAAGGAATAGACTCTGAAGTGTCCCTGTTCGCAGATGACGTGAAGTTGATGTGAAGAATTAAATCGGACGAGGATGAGGCAGGACTGCAAAGAGACCTGGACAGGCTGGACATGTGGTTCAGCAACTGGCTTCTCGAATTCAATCCAGCCAAATGCAAAGTCATGAAGATTGGGGAGGGGCAAAGAAGACCGCAGACAGAGTATAGGCTAGGTGGACAAAGAATACAGACCTCACTCAGGGAGAAAGACCTTGGGGTGACCATAACACCGAGCACATCACCGGAGGCACACAACCAAATAACCGCTGCAGCATACGGGTGCCTGGCAAACCTGAGAATAGCGTTCCGATACCTTAATAAGGAATCGTTCAAGACACTGTACACTGTGTATGTTAGGCCTATACTGGAGTATGCAGCACCAGTCTGGAACCCACACCTGGTCAAGCACGTCAAGAAGTTAGAGAAAGTACAAAGGTTTGCAACAAGGCTCTTCCCAGAGCTCAAGGGAATGTCGTACGAGGAAAGGTTAAGGGAAATCGGACTGACAACACTGGAGGACAGAAGGGCCAGGGGAGACATGATAACGACATACAAGATACTGCGGGGAATAGACAAGGTGGACAGAGATAGGATGTTCCAGAGAGGGGACACAGGGAAAAGGGGTCACAACTGGAAGCTGAAGACTCAGACGAGTCACAGGGACGTTAGGAAGTATTTCTTCAGTCATAGAGTTGTCAGCAAGTGGAATAGCCTAGCAAGTGAAGTAGTGGAGGCAGGAACCATACACAGTTTTAAGAAGAGGTATGACAAAGCTCAGGAAGCAGAGAGAGAGAGGATCCAGTAGCGATCAGTGAAGAGGCGGGGCCAGGAGCTGAGTCTCGACCCCTGCAACCACAATTAGGTGAATTAGGTGAGTACACACACACACACTCTCTCTCGCTCTCCTCTCTCGCTCTCTCTCTCGCTCTCTCCTCTCGCTCTCTCTCTCTCTCTCTCTCTCTCTCTCTCTCTCTCTCTCTCTCTCTCTCTCTCTCTCTCTCTCTCTCTCTCTCTCTCTCTCTTACTTTTATATACAACAGGCCAAGTGTCTAATCGACATGTGCCTAGGACAAAATGGTAACTAACACACACACACACACACACACACACACCTAGAAAGGAATGATCTCATCAACAGCAGCCAGCATGGTTTCAGGGACGGGAAATCCTGTGTCACAAACCTACTGGAGTTCTATGACATGGTGACAGCAGTAAGACAAGAGAGAGAGGGGTGGATGGATTGCATATTCTTGGACTGCAAGAAGGTGTTTGACACAGTTCCACACAAGAGATTGGTGCAAAAACTGGAGGACCAAGCAGGGATAACAGGGAAGGCACTACAATGGATCAGGGAATACTTGTCAGGAAGACAGCAGCGAGTCATGGTACGTGGCGAGGTGTCAGAGTGGGCACCTGTGACCAGCGGGGTCCCACAGGGGTCAGTCCTAGGACCAGTGCTGTTTCTGGTATTTGTGAACGACATGACGGAAGGAATAGACTTTGAGGTGTCCCTGTTTACAGATGACGTGAAGTTGATGAGAAGAATTCACTCGATCGAAGACCAGGCAGAACTACAAAGGGATCTGGACAGGCTGCAGACCTGGTCCAGCAATTGGCTCCTGGAGTTCAATCCCACCAAGTGCAAAGTCATGAAGATTGGGGAAGGGCAAAGAAGACCGCAGACGGAGTACAGTCTAGGGGGCCAGAGACTACAAACCTCACTCAAGGAAAAAGATCTTGGGGTGAGTATAACACCAGGCACATCTCCTGAAGCGCACATCAACCAAATAACTGCTGCAGCATATGGGCACCTAGCAAACCTCAGAACAGCATTCCGACATCTTAATAAGGAATCGTTCAGGACCCTGTACACCGTGTATGTTAGGCCCATATTGGAGTATGCGGCACCAGTTTGGAACCCACACCTAGCCAAGCACGTAAAGAAACTAGAGAAAGTGCAAAGGTTTGCAACAAGACTAGTCCCAGAGCTAGGAGGTATGTCCTACGAGGAGAGGTTAAGGGAAATCAACCTGACAACACTGGAGGACAGGAGAGATAGGGGGGACATGATAACGACATACAAAATACTGAGAGGAATTGACAAGGTGGACAAAGACAGGATGTTCCAGAGATTGGACACAGTAACAAGGGGACACAGTTGGAAGTTGAAGACACAGATGAATCACAGGAATGTTAGAAAGTATTTCTTCAGCCACAGAGTAGTCGGTAAGTGGAATAGTTTGGGAAGCGATGTAGTGGAGGCAGGATCCATACATAGCTTTAAGCAGAGGTATGATAAAGCTCACGGCTCAAGGAGAGTGACTTAGTAGCGATCAGTGAAGAGGCGGGGCCAGGAGCTCGGACTCGACCCCCGCAACCTCAACTAGGTGAGTACACACACACTCACTCACACGTGCACACACACACACACACACACACACACACACACACACACACACACACACACACACACACACACACACACACACACACACACACACACACTTGCTGTGTGTGTGAGGAAGTGTGTGCATGCATGTGTACTCACCTATTTGTACTCGCTTATTTGTGGTTGCAGGGGTCACTTAATAGCTCCTGGCCCCGCCTCTTCACTGGTCGCTACTAGGTCCTCTCTCCCTGCTCCATGAGCTGTATCAGATTTCGTCTTAAAACTATGTATGGATCCTGCCTCCACTACATCACTTTCCAGACTGTTCCACTTCCTGACAACTCTATGACTGAAGAAATACTTTCTAACATCCCTTTGACTCATCTGAGTCTTCAGCTTCCAATTGTGACTCCCTGTTTCTGTGTCCCATTTCTGGAACATCCAGTCTCTGTCCACCTTGCCAATTCCTCGCAGTATTTTACATGTCATTATCATGTCTCCCCAACCCTCCTGTCCTCCAGTGTCGTTAGGCCAATTTCCCTTAACCTTTTTTCATAGGACATTACCCCTAGCTTCGGGACTAGTCTTATTGCCAACCTTTGGACTTTCTTTGATTTCTTGATGTGCTTGACTAGGTGTGGGTTCCAAACTGGTGCTGCATACTCCAATGTGGGCCTGACATACACTGTGTACAGAGTCTTGAATGATTCCTTACTGAGGTGTCGGAATGCTTTTCTTAGGTTTGCCAGGTGCCCATATGCTACAGCAGCTATCTGATTGATGTGTGCCTTAGGAGTTGTGCTTGGTATTATACTCACACAAAGAGCCTTTTCCATGAGTGAGGTTTGCAGTCTTTGCATGTGTGTGTACTTAAATGCGCGCTCACACTGTCGGTCTGTGTGTGTATGCATCGTGGATGGGCGTATCCAGGGGTGGTTAGGGCGTTGGTCTTAGCTTCATCTCAAGCTGGCACTGATGCTGTACATGAAACAGTAGACACAGAAAGATGTTTTCTTCTCACACAGCACAGAGTTAGTTATGGAGGTAGCTGCAGGAATTTTTAAGAGGGTTTTTATAAGCGGAGAGTGATGCAAAGACTGATCAGCAACAACTGTGTCTTTGTTTGGGAGAATTGATTTTGAGCTATATTTTATTCAGTTTACAGTAGGCAGATTCTTGGAAATGGAAAGTACAGTGTCTGCGCTATAAAGGAGGAGTGAGGATGTTGCAGTTCTGAGGGCCATCTGAACGTGTTTCCAATGTTTTGGTTCACCCTCCCTCAGTAGGAGATAGCTGGTATGTTAAAGAGAGAGGGAGAGAAAGGAGAGATAGAAAAAGAAAGGAGAGACACAGACAGATTTTTAAATAAAATACTTGGAAATGTCTAGTTCTAGGAAATTCAAAATATGAGAGTATGTTTAGTACCTGGGATTAGTTGTTAATATAATTGATATTTATGTTTCCACAGGTAGTTGAATTATTAACACGTGAGACTGGCTCAGTCACACTTGCTATTGGTGATGGAGCCAATGATGTGGCTATGATTCAGAAAGCCAATGTTGGTGTTGGCATTGCTGGATTAGAAGGACTTCAAGCTGCATGTGCATCAGATTATGCTATTGGCCAGGTAAGAGATGTTTTTCTTTGTGCATCCATGCCTTATTAGAAAAGCTGTAAAGTAAAATTACTGTCATATTTTATTTCTAGACTGAAGCCTAAGGTATGCAGAGGGTTCAAACACATTTGAAGGAGGGAGTCAGGGAAACCATTTACTTGGACTTAGAGTCCTGGAGGTGGGATGTACAATACCTACATTTTAAAAGAGGGATGAGAATGTTGCAGTTTGGAGGACTACCTGAACTCTGATGTCAACACACACTTAGGGCAAGACAGCAATTTGTTAGGTAAAACTTATAAATGTCACATTAATTGCACCTGTGTCCTTTTACCTAATATATTGTCAGTATGGTTCTACCATTATTACTAAGACAGGAATTACATGAATGATGGTGAATGTGTTTTCCTCACTGGGAGATAGCCAGTGTATAAAAAAAATGGATAGTAGATGACATTCAGGCTTTACGATAATTTTTCACTGCCAACCTCACTGCATTATCACTTTTAGATTTTTTTTTCACTCTTATGAATCACTAGCCGTTATGAGTTGGGACTTGTGAATTTAAGCAACCACTAATCTGACCAATCTTGAAGTTTGTCTGGATCCACGTATGGCTTTTCCATTCCTCATCTGTTTTTATTCTCATTAGTTCTACATCATTAGCAAGCAGGAATTCATGTAACTCACTTCCATCTGGTATGTCATTGACATAAACCAGAAACAGTACTGGTTCTACTACTACTGTTCTCTGAGGAGTCCCACTTGTTACTCTTCCCTATTTTGACATCTTTTTGTTCACAACCGCTCTGCATCCTTTCCCCAAGGTATTCTTTGATCTACTGGAACACATTCCTTGTTATTCCATCCTGCACCTCAAGCTTTGCTCCAGCCTCTTGTGAGGTACAGTTTCAGATGCCTTCTTTAATCCAAGAAAATTCAATCCACCTATCCCTCTCCCTCCTGTCTCACTGCTGTTACTTTGTCATAGAATTGTAATAGGCTGGTAAGACAGGATATACTGTCTCTAAAACCATGTCAGTTATTGTTCACAAATCACTTTTCTCCGATTGCTCTACCACTTTCCTGATTATCTTCTTTGTTACCATGCATAGTATGCACTTTAGTGAAACTAGTCTGAAGTTTGGTCATTTCTGTCTGTCTCCTTTCTGAAATGTAGAGACTACATTCTCTGTCTTCCAGATCTTGAGCAACTATCCTATGTCCATTGACTTCTTATAGATCTTATCTAGGCTGGAACAAGTGTAGAGGCCTTCAAGAGGAAACTGGACAAGTATCTTCATCAGGTGCCAGATCAGCCAGGCTGTGATGTGGGGCAGCAGGCCTCCAGCAGCAACAACCTGGTTGACCAGGCAAGCACCAGATGAGCCTGGCCCATGGCTGGGCTCCGAGAGTAGTGAAACTCTCGAAACTCTTCAAAGGTATACCGAAGGTAAGGTGGTTTGGACAGTGCTTCTGCTCCCTCTTGTAGAACCTATGGTGACACCTTATCAGGTCCTATTGCCTTTGAGGTATTCACCTCCAACAGTAGTGTTTTTACCTTTTACCTCATTGTGTATATTGGGGTTCCGTACCTGTCAGTGTATGCTTTAATCCTAGGTCCTCTGGCACTGCCTATTTCCATTGAGGAAACCTCTTTAAATTATTTGTTTAATGCTTCTCATACTTTCTTGTTATTTTTCATGAGCTCTTCTCCTTCCTTCTTCAGTCAGATTACCTGTACAGTGGACCCCCGGTTTACGATCAGCTCCCAATGCGACCAATTATGTAAGTGTATTTATGTAAGTGCATTTGTATGTGTATGTTTGGGGGTCTGAAATGGACTAATCTAATTCACAATATTCCTTATGGGAACAAATTCGGTCAGTACTGGCACCTGAACATACTTCTGGAATGAAATATTATCGTAAACCAGGGGTCCACTGTATTTTATAATCGCTATTCTTCAAAAGTTGCTCTGAAGCTATGTAAATTCCCGTCACTATCACTGTAAGTCCTCCATTCTTAATTAGGCCCACTGTGCTGCTTTATGCTGAAGAGAGTTCTTTTGGTAGATTCTGAATAGAAATTGCAAAGGTTGGTGGATGAATTTGGAAGGATATGTAAAAGAAGGAAATTAAAAGTGAACATAGGAAAGAGCAAGGTGATGAGGGTGACAAACAGTTTAAGTAATGAAAGACTGGATATCAGATTGGAAGGAGGGAGTAAGGAGGATAACAAAAAGATTAGGTGATGAAAGATTGGATATCAGATTGGAGGGAGAGAGTATGGAGGAGGTGAATGTATTCAAATATTTGGGAGTGGACGTGTCAGCGGATGGGTCTATGAAAGATGAGGTGAATCATAGAATTGATGAGGGGAAAAGGGTGAGCGGTGCACTTAGGAGTCTGTGGAGACAAAGAACTTTGTCCTTGGAGGCAAAGAGGGGAATGTATGAAAGTATAGTTTTGCCAACGCTCTTATATGGGTGTGAAGCATGGGTGATGAATGTTGCAGCGAGGAGAAGGCTGGAGGCAGTGGAGATGTCATGTCTGAGGGCAATGTGTGGTGTGAATATAATGCAGAGAATTCGTAGTTTGGAAGTTAGGAGGAGGTGCGGGATTACCAAAACTGTTGTCCAGAGGGCTGAGGAAGGGTTGTTGAGGTGGTTCGGACATGTAGAGAGAATGGAGCGAAACAGAATAACTTCAAGAGTGTATCAGTCTGTAGTGGAAGGAAGGCGGGGTAGGGGTCGGCCTAGGAAAGGTTGGAGGGAGGGGGTAAAGGAGGTTTTGTGTGCGAGGGGCTTGGACTTCCAGCAGGCATGCGTGAGCGTGTTTGATAGGAGTGAATGGAGACAAATGGTTTTTAATACTTGACGTGCTGTTGGAGTGTGAGCAAAGTAACATTTATGAAGGGGTTCAGGGAAACCGGCAGGCTGGACTTGAGTCCTGGAGATGGGAAGTACAGTGCCTGCACTCTGAAGGAGGGGTGTTAATGTTGCAGTTTAAAAACTGTAGTGTAAAGCACCCTTCTGGCAAGACAGTGATGGAGTGAATGATGGTGAAAGTTTTTCTTTTTCGGGCCACCCTGCCTTGGTGGGAATCGGCCAGTGTGATAAAAAAAAAAAAATATTTTGGAGTGAATTTGTCAGTATATGGGTCTTTGGCAGATGGGGAAAAAAAGGTGGATGGTGCATTGAGTCATCTGTGAAAACAAAGAACATTATCAGTGGAGATAAAAGGGGGATATTTTAGAGTATAGTGCAACAGTACAGTGGACCCCCGCACAACGATCACCTCCGAATGCGACCAATTATGTAAGTGTATTTATGTAAATGCGTTTGTACGTGTATGTTTGGGGGTCTGAAATGGACTAATCTACTTCACAATATTCCTTATGGGAACAAATTCGGTCAGTACTGGCACCTGAACATACTTCTGGAGAGAAAAAATATCGTTAACCGGGGGTCCACTGTACTTTTATATGGGTATGAAGCATGGGTTTTGAACATTGCAGTGAGGATGAGGCTAGAAGCAGCGGAGATGTGCTTGAGAGCAATAGGTGATATAAATATTATGCAGAGGGATGAGGAGGGGTTGTTGAGATGGGTTGGACATTTAAAGAGGATGGAACAAAAGAAGATGACCTGGAGGTGTATTCATCTGTAGTGGAGGGAAGGTAGGGAGGAGTCACCTTAGGGAAAGTTGGAAGGAGGAGATAAAAGAGGTTTGGTGTGCAAAGGGGCTTGGACATCAGCAGATGTGTGAGCATATTAGATAGGAGTGAGTGGAGGAAAATGGGTTTTGGGACTTGACAATCTATTGGAGTGTGAGCAAGGTAACATTTTGTGAGGGGTTTCAGGGAAACTGATTAACAAGACTTAGAGGCCTGGAGGAGAGAACTACAGTGCCTGCACCACAAAGGAGGGGTGGGGATATTTGCAGTGTGGATAAAGTGAATGACTGTGAAAGTGTTTCTTCTTTTTCAGGTCACCCTACCTTGTGGGAGACGGCCAGTGTGTCAAACAAAAATGTATGGATAAAAATGCTTGGGGAAGACTGGTTATGCCATACTGCTATAAATGGTGTAGTGGATATAGTAGCACAAAGGCATATAGCACGCACTTGTTTAATACTTATTGACATCTTTTGGGTGCAAGGGGCATGGACTTTCAGCAAGCATGCATGAGCTTGTTAGATAGGAGTAAGTGGAGACAAATGGTTTTATGTCTTGACATGCAGTTGGAGTGTGAGCGAAGTAACATCTATGGAGGGATTCAGGGAAAACCAGCAAGCCGGACTTGAGTCCTGGAGGTGGGAAGTACAGTGCCTGCACTCCTAAGGTGGGGTGTTGATACGATGCACTTTTTTTAACTGTAGTATAGGAGCACCTCTGGCAAGACAGTGATGGACTGAATGCTGAAATGTTTCTTCCTTTTCAGGTTACCCTGCCTCAGTGGGAAACAGCCAATGTGTTAATAAAAAAAATAAAGTGGCATCCTTTTTTTTTTTTTTTTTTTATTAACACTGGCCGATTCCCACCAAGGCAGGGTGGCCCAAAAAAGAAAAACTTTCACCATCATTCACTCCATCACTGTCTTGCCAGAAGGGGGCTTTACACTACAGTTTTTAAACTGCAACATTAACACCCCTCCTTCAGAGTGCAGGCACTGTACTTCCCATCTCCAGGACTCACGTCCGGCCTGCCGGTTTCCCTGAACCAAATCATAAATGTTACTTTGCTCACACTCCAACAGCACATCAAGTATTAAAAACCATTTGTCTCCATTCACTCCTATCAAACACACTCATGCATGCCCGCTGGAAGTCCAAGCCCCTCACACACAATAGCTCCTTTACCCCCTCCCTCCAACCTTTCCTAGGCCGACCCCTACCCCGCCTTCCTTCCACTACAGACTGATACACTCTTGAAGTCATTCTGTTTCGCTCCATTCTCTCTACATGTCCGAACCACCTCAACAACCCCTCTTCGGCATCCTTTTGTTGTCTCTAATACTATACAGGCTATAGATAAATAGATAGCAATATTATGTTTCCTGTGTTACCAGAATTTTACTGCACACATGTAATTTTTTTCAGTTTCGCTTCCTGGCCAGATTACTGTTCGTACATGGAGCTTGGAACTATAGCCGGCTCTGTAAAGTTATCCTATATAGCTTTTACAAGAATATTTGTCTGTATGTTATTGAGCTGTGGTGGGCAGCCATGTCTGGCTGGTCGGGTCAAGTCTTGTTTGAACGCTGGAGTATAGCCATGTATAATGTGGTAAGTTCATTACCTTCAGTTATTTGTATCATAAAAACTGCATGAATATTCTAGCAGTTTTTCTACTCCTGACTCTATTAGTAGTTTCAGTTTTCTTCATGTAACTTTTCTACATATTGATTGCTCTCAACTATGCTTCCTAACACAACAGCTGTTCTGTTGATGAACCATGGTATAGGAAGGTTAATTTGTGTAAGGAATTAGTGATGCCAAACCATCTATCATCCTAGAAAGGAAGAGTTGAGTTTATATGCAAATATTTCTTGAGGGTCTAGAGGATATCAAAATTTTTGTGAGGTCATAATGAGAATCAAACAATTTAATAAGGGTATAGAGAGATCACGGGGTACAAGGGGCTAGTGAACCCCTTCTCCTGTATAAATTACCAAATGTAAAAATAAGAACTTTGCTTCTTCTTTTTCAGGTCACCCTACCTTGGTGGGAAACAGCTGTTTTGTTAAAAAAAAAGTAATAAAGAGATCAAGCACTATAGAGGAATATGTTTTAAGTAATGATATATTTGTAGCTACAGAAACATAACTGTGCTTGTGGTGTTCCATCTTCAGTAATTTGTTTATCTTATAATTATTCAAATCTTTATTGGTTCCATCACTTTCTACTTCCTTTTTTAACCCTTAAACAGTCCAAACGTATATATACGTTCTCTTGCGAAGCGCCCCGAATATTTTGAATTGTTTTTTTATAGAAAAAAAAATTAAGGTCAGTACTTACAGAGATTATAGGTAGTAGGTTGGTAGACAGCAACCGCCCAGGGAGGTACTACCGTCCTGCCAAGTGAGTGTAAAACGAAAGCCTGTAATTGTTTTACATGATGGTAGGATTGCTGGTGTCCTTTTTTCTGTCTCATGAACATGCAAGATTTCAGGTACGTCTTGCTACTTCTACTTACACTTAGGTCACACTACACATACATGTACAAGCACATATATACACACCCCTCTGGGTTTTCTTCTATTTTCTTTCTAGTTCTTATTCTTGTTTATTTCCTCTTATCTCCATGGGGAAGTGGAACAGAATTCTTCCTCCGTAAGCCATGCGTGTTGTAAGAGGCAACTAAAATGCCGGGAGCAAGGGGCTAGTAACCTCTTCTCCTGTATATATTACTAAATGTAAAAGGAGAAACTTTCGTTTTTCCTTTTGGGCCACCCCGCCTCGGTGGGATACGGCCGGTGTGTTGAAAGAAGAAGAAGACTTACAGAGATATGAGGCCTAGAAGATGGCACTGGATGCTCATGTGACGGCAACATCAAGTCCTGCCACTTGCAGAAGTGTTGCCGATATACCTTTTTTTTTCTCTATTTTTCATATTATTTTATATAATTTTTTATGTTCTGATAATTACAATTTATAGTAGTTCTTGCTATTTCATAACCATTCTTTGTTCTGACACTAGTATTAGGTACTGAAGTTGTACTCAAATTGTCACAAACTCACTGACAGGTGGACATTTACACCTGCCTTGGCCATTTACTATTGTCTTGGAATATATACAAAGTATTTATATGTCCCAGCAATGTTTTGGATATGTGGAAGTATATAATAATAATGAGGAGGAGGAGGAGGAGGAGCAAGAGAAGGAGGAGGAGGAAAAGGAGGAGGAGAAGAATACGTAATAATAATAATAGGTAATAATAAGTTCCCTTGAAGCACGAAAAACGAAGTCCACCCCTGACAGTGACGTGATAAGATGAGATAACATTTGATATGAGCTGACGTTTGATGAGCATACGCGAGGGTGCAGTGATAACACTTGATAAGAAAATATTAGAGGTGACATTTGATGAGCATCGGCCCTCGCTTTGTTTTCGCTGGTGCACAAACATGTCTGTCTGTCTATTTGTCTGTCTGTCAAGCTCCCTGTCCATCCATCTAGCTCTCTATCTCAGGGAGAGCCACAAGACTGCATCATCACGTTTACTCACATCTTCAAGCAGAGTATAGCACTTTGTCTGGATTTTTTGGGTTATCCTAGGTAATTTACACTATGTATACTTGTATTTATGTGTACCTGTGAGACAGAGACAGACAGATAGAGATGCAGAGATTGACAGACCCTAAACTTGGGGTTAACATCACTTTCCTCTTAAAAGAGGAGTGTTAATATGACATTACATCAGTGAATCCTTGGTGTTTGCCACACTGTTTGCTCTAGCTGGCACTCAATTTAACTGGCACTCCCACAAGGTACTAAGTGGTCCCAGATATTTTTAATATGGTGCACACCGAGTGTTAAGATCCATTCTATGCTGACCAGGCATCTCAGGGCAATTGTGCCAAATTTGGAGGCAGGAAAATTAAAATGTATACATACATTTGGGGCGCTACGTGTAAGGACGTATATATACGTTTAGACTGTATAGGGGTTAATGCACTTCATTATCCCACCACTGTTTGCTAATTAAAACATTGTTATTCATATAGCATCTTTTTTTTTTTTACAACTGTTTCCTCTTGTTATGCCTCTTGATCCCCTCAAGGAAGGTTCCTTGATGTTCGTGAGGGGCTCTTGATTTAGGGAATTGGATCTGTGCTCCAGTTCCCAGAATTAAGCCTGAATGCATTCCACGTCCTCCCCCCAGGCGCTGTATAATCCTCCGGGTTTAGCGCTTCCCCCTTGATTATAATAATAATAATATGCCTCTTGATGATGAAAAAAATATTTAGTTAATTTTTTATATCTTATATGACTAATTATATGTGGTTATGTGATATTCCTGATTATTTCACAATATTATGTTAATAAATGCTAGCAAACCACTATTATCCACCATCAGATGAGCTTTAATCTGACATGGAGAGTACATCCATGAGTTAGCATGGTTTACAGTCTTTGTTTTTTGCCTTGTATTCTGTGTACCACATCCACACCAAACCTCTCAAGGAAAAAATTCTCAGATTCTATGAATGCTAATTTATTTTTGCTTGCTGTAAGTATGTAATTTTAAAATCAATTTTAAATTTGTAATGATTAACACAATTTTGACAATTCAGAATTTTAGCAAAATTTTGATTTTTTTTTTTTTTTTTGGGGGGGGGGGAGAGTCTTTTAATTCTTATTTTTAACAAGGAAATATTTTGTCTGAAATTTTTATTTCAGAAATTTTAGAAATTTCCCGATAAGAAGTGGCCTATGTGATAAAAAAAATTAATTTCTGAAAAAATTAATAATTTCAAATTTCATTTAAGAGAAGCTAATACACTGTAAACATTTTCATAAAATATAATATTTCCTTGAACTTCTAATTCAAGATATTCTCTTAAATTCTGATTTTTCTTTTTTTAATAATAGCAAGAATTTCAAAATATCAATTTGGAATTTCCCTCTTATTTAAATTTTATTTCTGAATGAGAATTTTCATTTGTAATTTCTATAATTGGGAACCACCAAGTATGAATTACCACAAATAATAGAGACCACTGTTAGTACATCTAGGCATAACTGTTCACAAGAAAGAAAAAACAATATATTTTATGAAGTATCATTTAATATTTTCCTGTTTTTTTTTTTTTTTTTTCTTTTTGCTAGCTGTTCACAGCAGCACCACCTCTAGTTATGGGAATATTCGACCGGTCGTGTAGTGCTGAGACAAGAATGAGGTACCCAGAATTGTACCAGGAATCACAGAGTGGATCACATTTTAATTGGAAGGTGAGATACCTGCACATCTTTAAAGATAAGAATTGTCTGTGCATTTTACTTGATGTACTCAAGAGTGTCTACACTCTGAATGAATGATGTGAATATTGCACTTCAGTGGCTATTGATTAGAATATGGTGATTCTATTTTTGGGTCACCCTACCTTGGTGGAAGATAGCTAGTGTGATAACCTTTCACTTGTTTGCATTTCCTTTACACTCCTTAAAACTTCTTTTAACCTTTTTTTTTTTTCTCTTCATATAATCTTCCTTCCTATGCCATTTTTGCATTTTAAAAACCTTTACAAACCTTTTCTCTCTTATGACACTTATTTATTTCATCATTCCCTCAGTTATATCCTACCTCAGTGGGCATCTCCCACCAAGGCAGGGTAGCTCAAAAAGTAAGGAAACATTTCAAAATTATTTAATCAATTACTGCCAGGCCAGAAGTGTGCTGGCATCACAATTCATATTACACTTTTGACTGCAACATTCCTGCCTCTCCTTTAGTATGCAGGCACTGCTGCTCTTCCCACTTCCAGTACTTGAGTCTGTCTAACTGATTTCCCTGACTTCCTTCAGAAATGTTTTCTTGCTCATACTCTGACAGCACTTCAAATAAAATAAAAAAACTACTTGCCTCCACTTCTATTTAGCATGCTCACACAAGCCTGTTGGATGTCAAAGTCCCTCGCACACAAAACTTCCTTTACCCCCTCCCTCCAGCCTTTCTTAGGATGACCCTTACTCCTCCTTCCCCCCACCCCAGATTTATACTCCCTCCTTGTCAATCTATTTTGCTCCATCCTCTCTTAATGTCTAAACTACCTCAATAACCCCTCCTCAGCCCCCTGAATAAAACTCCTGGTAGCCTCTCACCTCCTAATTTCCAAGCTCAGAATTCTCCGTGTAACATTTGCTCTACACATTGCCCTTAGACACAACAACACTGCCTCCAGTCTCCTCCCAACTGCAGTGTTTAACCTCTTTAGGGTTGGATCCCCTGAGCTGAGACTTGCTCTCAGGGTCAGGGAATTTAAAAAAAAAAAAATCATGTGAAATGATAGAGAATTTTTTCCGAAGGTAATGAAACCAAAAGTATGAAATTTGATGGAAAACTTACAGAATTATGCTCTAGCAAAGTTAAGAGGTCTCAGTGATAATTACAAATTGGCGATTTTGCCCAATATGAGTCCTATTTTAAGCCAATTTCATCGTTACAGTCAACCAAACTCATAGTTATTTCGCTAGTATCCCTTCCATTCTATTGAGTACAAAAAACTGCCCATTTAGTTACTTCAACTACCGAATAAAGTGATCAGAAATCGGTAATTTGGTCAGTTTCAAACAAAAAACATTGCCAATTTATAAATAGGGTCCAAAATAAACAATGTAGACATTCTGGCACTAAAAAAACATTTCCTCTGTTCATTCCTTACATCCCCAGGCCTTCCCTACATAATGCCTGCTTTCCATTTTGAATTTTTATTCACACTAAAAAAATAGAAGATTTATTATTATGCAGACTACTGAATTATTGTAATAATTGTATAAAAAATGTCAGCACATTTCTGAATGTGTATTAGACTGACAGCTGGACGCATATTGGATGAGTGACGTAATTTGTGTACTCTGGAATATCGGTAAAATTTGAACATTTCTGTTAATTTGAGCTCAATTTCAGGCTACTTTTAGTCCTGAAACTAATCAAAATCATCTCTAATTATGTCATATATCTTCCATTCTGTCGAATGGTACCAAGAAATCGAGACTACAGTTATAAAAACCCACACAAAAATACACCGCATAGTTGCTATTTTAAACCAAAAATACTGTCACAATTTTTTTTCCCCATTATGCATACGGTGCACTCTTACTGCATCGACCCATTCTCTCATATCTAGGGAAAAAATTTACCACTCACATCTTATCTGAGTGAACTGAACTCATCACATAGTTCTGTGGCACTGACTCAGAGTTCAAAGCTGTAGCACTACTCACCAACCCTAAAGGGCTACAACCTATATTTCACACCCATGTGAGATTGTTATTACAACTATATTCTGGTACATCCCCCTCTTTTATTTAACATTAATGCTGCTCATCTACCTCTTGTTCTTTAATATACCTGCCTTAATCTCATGTACTTATCCCTGTTCGACTCTCGCATCCATTTAGTTTTTGCTTTGCTCACACATTAACATCAGTTCTTTCTTAACCCTTTGACTGTCGCGGCCGTATATATACGTCTTACGAGGTACCGTGTTTGACGTATATATACTCATAAATTCTAGCGGCTTCAAATCAAGCAGGAGAAAGCTGGTAGGCCCACATGTGAGAGAATGGGTCTGTGTGATCAGTGTGCACCATATAAAAAAAATCCTGGAGCACGCAGTGCATAATGAGAAAGAAAAAACTCCGACCGATTTTTTTAATTAAAATGCCGACTTTGTGGTCTATTTTTGTATAGTATTTATGATTGTATTCTCGTTTTCTTGGTCTCATTTGATAGAATGGAAAACATATTATAGAAATAGAGGTGATTTTGATTGATTTTACTATAAAAAGAACCTAGAAATGGAGCTCAAAGTAGGGGAAATGTTTGATTTTTGCCAATGTTCAAAAGTAAACAAATGATGCCATTGTCCAATAAATGTCCAACTAGCCATTCTAATATGCAGTCATGAATGGGTTGATGTTATTTATACAATTATTACAGTATTGCAGTAGTCTGCATAATAGTAAGTCTTCTACTTTTTGTTTGAATAAAAATTCAAAATAGAAAGCAAGAGTAATATCAGAGGGGCCTGGAGACATGACTGATGAACAAAGAAAATGTTATTTTAGAGCCAGGAATGTCTGCATTGTTCATTCTGGACTTTATTTTGAAATTGTCATTTTTTTTTAGTTTTCGTGAAATTGGCCAAATTGCAAATTTTTGACCACATTATTAGGTAGTTGAAATCGGTAAATGGGCAGTTTCTTGTACTCAATCAATAGAAAAAATGGAGTTCTAAAGAAATAGCTATGAGTTTGGTCGACTGGAACAATGGAATTAGCCGAAAATAAGGCTCAAAGTGGGCGAAATCGCCGATTTGTAAACAGCGCCGAGGTCGCTAACTTCGCGAGAGCATAATTCTGTCAGTTTTCCATCAAATTTCGTTTTTTTGGTGTCATTACAATCGGGAAAAGATTCTCTATCATTTCATAAGAAAAAATAATTTTTTTTTTTTTTTTAAATTTTGCGACACCAGGAGACACCTCAGGATTGGGGGTTGCGACAGTCAAAGGGTTAATATTTGCACTGTATCCACACACATTCAAACAAACTAGCATTTTGTTCCAGGCATATAGTTTCCTTCTGTGACATTCATGGTTTACTGTATATATACAACAGTAACTTACTGTATATACAGTATTTATGGTAGATGTTAATTATATGAAAGTAGTAGGTTGGTAGACAGCAACCGCCCAGGGAAGTACTACCGTCTTGCCAAGTGAGTGTAAAACAAAAGCCTGTAATTGTTTTACATGATGGTAGAATTGCTGGTGTCCTTTTTTTCTGTCTCATAAACAAGATTTCAGGTACATCTTGCTACTTCTACTTACACTTAGGTCACTCTGCACATACAAGTACAAGCATATATCTTTCTTTCTTTCAACACACCGGCCGTATGCCACCGAGGTGAGGTGGCCCAAAAGGAAAAACGAAAGCTTCTCTTATTACATTTAGTAATATATACAGGAGAAGGGGTTACTAGCCCCTTGCTCCTGGCATTTTAGTCGCCTCTTACAACACGCATGGCTTACGGAGGAATAATTCTGTTCCACTTCCCCATGGAGGTAAGAGGAAATAAACAAGAACAAGAACTAGTAAGAAAATAGAAGAAAACCCAACAGGGTGCGTGTGTGTGTGGGAGACGACCGACTTGTTGAAAAAAAAAAAAAAAATATATATATACATATATATATATATATATATATATATATATTTTTTTTTATTTTTTTTTATTATCACACCGGCCGATTCCCACCAAGGCAGGGTGGCCCGAAAAAGAAAAACTTTCACCATCATTCACTCCATCACTGTCTTGCCAGAAGGGTGCTTTACACTACAGTTTTTAAACTGCAACATTAACACCCCTCCTTCAGAGTGCAGGCACTGTACTTCCCATCTCCAGGACTCAAGTCCGGCCTGCCGGTTTCCCTGAATCCCTTCATAAATGTTACTTTGCTCACACTCCAACAGCACGTCAAGTATTAAAAACCATTTGTCTCCATTCACTCCTATCAAACACGCTCATGCATGCCTGCTGGAAGTCCAAGCCCCCCGCACACAAAACCTCCTTTACCCCCTCCCTCCAACCCTTCCTAGGCCGACCCCTACCCCGCCTTCCTTCCACTACAGACTGATACACTCTTGAAGTCATTCTGTTTCGCTCCATTCTCTCTACATGTCCGAACCACCTCAACAACCCTTCCTCAGCCCTCTGGACAACAGTTTTGGTAATCCCGCACCTCCTCCTAACTTCCAAACTACGAATTCTCTGCATTATATTCACACCACACATTGCCCTCAGACATGACATCTCCACTGCCTCCAGCCTTCTCCTCGCTGCAACATTCATCACCCACGCTTCACACCCATATAAGAGCGTTGGTAAAACTATACTCTCATACATTCCCCTCTTTGCCTCCAAGGACAAAGTTCTTTGTCTCCACAGACTCCTAAGTGCACCACTCACTCTTTTTCCCTCATCAATTCTATGATTCACCTCATCTTTCATAGACCCATCCGCTGACACGTCCACTCCCAAATATCTGAATACGTTCACCTCCTCCATACTCTCTCCCTCCAATCTGATATTCAATCTTTCATCACCTAATCTTTTTGTTATCCTCATAACCTTACTCTTTCCTGTATTCACCTTTAATTTTCTTCTTTTGCACACCCTACCAAATTCATCCACCAATCTCTGCAACTTCTCTTCAGAATCTCCCAAGAGCAC